GGCCATTGCCCCCCAGGTGCCCACAATGAAATGAGATTTGTATAACATAATGCTATCGCAGCAAGCAGCATTTTAAATTTTAAAAAATCCTGTTCACTATCAAGAGTTACATCGCCTTCACATGCAAAAAAGTGTGGAACGTTGAACAATCCTAAAAGCACATATTTTTTATTAAAAGGAGAGTTGGGTAGCTTAGCTTACATTTGGAGTATGATTAGAACCCCACTGTAAAACAATTACCAAGACTCTGTTTTTATATTTGATGTTGGAAAGAGAAAAAGACCTCATGCAGATTCAAGTCTCTTGCATACCCCAGCAAGTATATTTTAGTGCTGATTTTCTATGAATAAACATATGCTAAGAATTGCTCAAACACACTGCTGATTTTAAACACACCTAATGTACTATTAGTGGTTTGTTTCCAGAACTGACTGCCTCCATTTATCAGCTTCCTCACTCCAGCTGACAATGAAGATCACTGATATCAACTCTGGTCAGCTGTCTTTCCCAATATAGTTTCATCTATGGGGGAAAAGAATATTTCAAGGAAACTAGCAGGAAACAGGACTGAAAACAGGTCTAAACAAATTGGTTCTAGCAATTTGGAAGGCAGATTGCATTTTACTACTGTGAATCAATAATCACCACAGAAATTATGTGTCATCAAACCCATTTCAGTGTAAACATTACAGTTTGGAAAAATTACTGACTTTATATAAAAAAGGGAGGGAGGGAGGAGTAAAGATAACATTATCTGTTCTGTAACATTCCAACATCACCATTCCATATTTCATCTTTGAAAGGCATGCTAGAGTAATTGCAATATAAATATCACAAAATAAAATACTTCTGTTATCTGAAATTTGTCACATTAATGTTCAATTAAACGTTCAATGTCAAGAAGCCACAAAAATACATATATCAACTCCATTTGACTTATAGAAGTACTAAAATCCTACTATATTGAGCAGAATCCTTTAAAACTGGGTTAGGGCTATGACCCCAGAGGGGAACTTTTCCCCATTTAGCATTTCCTCATTTGAAAATATCCATTCATTTAATAATAATAATAATAATAATAATAATAATAACAACACATGAGGTATCGGTAGGAAGGGGGAAAGCTTTTGTGCTATAAAGTAGCCATGCATAATGCTGTTTTATTATGTGTTTTCACTTATTCTGATAATATTATTTACATGTTTTCTATACATGCAAAGTAAACAGATTTTCCGAACATAAATATCTGCATACCAGTTTAAATTTTGAATGATGAAATGTCTTTACAATGAATGGTGGCAAATTATTTTTTGCTGTATTCACAGAAACTTAACATTTTCTCTGAAATCTGTTTGTGTGTGCATTTTCTAGATAGGAACGGTAAATTCATAAAAAAATTACTATGTATATAAGATAAAGTCTAGTCGTGTCCAATTCTGGGGTGTGGTGCTCATCTCCATTTCTAAACCGAAGAGCCGGCATTGTCTGTAGACACCTTCAAGGTCATGTGACCGGCTTGACGGCATGAAGCGCCGTTACCTTCCTGCCAGAGTGCTACCTATTGCTCTACTCACATTTGCATGTTCTCGAACTGCTAGGTTGCAGAAGCTGGGGCTAACAGAGGGAGCTTACCCCACTCCCTGGATTCAAACCACTGACCTTTTGGTCAGCAAGTTCAGCAGTTCAATGTTTTAACTTACTGGGCCACCAGAGGCCTCATAAACTGTGTATATACAAATCCAGTATTGTAGAATATTGAATCATAGAATCAAAGAGTTGGAAGAGACCTAATGGGCCATCCAGTCCAACCCCCTGCCAAGAAGCAGGAATATTGCATTCAAAGCACCCCTGACAGATGGCCATCCAGCCTCTGTTTAAAAGCTTCCAAAGAAGGAGCCTCCACCACACTCCGGGGCAGAGAGTTCCACTGCTGAACGGCTCTCACAGTCAGGAAGTTCTTCCTCATGTTCAGATGGAATCTCCTCTCTTGTAGTTTGAAACCATTGTTCCGCGTCCTAGTCTCCAAGGAAGCAGAAAACAAGCTTGCTCCCTCCTCCCTGTGGCTTCCTCTCACATATTTATACATGGCTATCATATCTCCTCTCAGCCTTCTCTTCTTCAGGCTAAACATGCCCAGTTCCCTAAGCCGCTCCTCATAGGGCTTGTTCTACAGACCCTTAATCATTAGAGATGAAGAGATGTTTCTTTAAATTACTATGATTTCATTAGTACTTACTTCACTTACTTTCATTGGGAATGTAAATATTGTATTGCATTTTGAAAAAAATAAAGTATTTCCCAGAAAAGCTTTTGCAGCATATGTCCATACAGATGATACCAGGCCAGTCACACCAGTTTGTCATTTCAGTATGGCTGGGATGGAAAAGGTGAATGTAGATCTCCTTAGCTGACATTCTTTACAATTTTCACAAATGTACATTGAAATTAAAATGTGGCTAGGAAACATCTAAAAGATGTAAAAGCTATTTGCAAAGGGATCAGGTCTAGGTCACACAGCAACACTCAGATGTCTTTCTACCACTTCCTTGGTTTAAAATAAGGAAAGATCAGCCAATCAAGACAAGATGTGCTGTGGGTTTTGCTCTAAAAACCTAATCTCCAAGACTCCTGAACTAGAACAAAGTGCTAAATATTTAATGTAAGCAAATGCTGTATTAAAAAAACTGAACACACACTTTTTTGATTTTTCTATTACATTCAAAGCAGAACAAGAGTGAGATGGCTGACAAAGCAGCATTTAATTCTGAGCTATATCTAGACCAGAGGACCCAAGGTAATTTACACAGGCAACCAGTCACAGTTCACATAATCACATACAGTGGAATATGACAGGGGAATTAGAAGGCCAGGAAAGCATGTCTGAACCATAGGCTGCCTGCTCTAAATGTATTAAGTAGAGACATTTAATTCTGAAATGGGCATTTTTTAAAAAGCTACAAACAGTTTTGCTTGTAGATGGCAGAAATGTATAAAAACAAGCTTCTCTTCTGTAAAACAAAATATACCACTTGGATTAATTTTTAAAGTGCTCTGTGTTATAGAAAGAATTCATTGTGGAAGTGTTTACATTTATATAGGGCAGTATTCTGTAGAAGGTGGTGCTTATCTTTCTAATTCTTACCCATCACTCTTTACCCGTTGTTTTCCCCCTAGTCCTCTCCCGTTTCCTGCTCCTTGGCCTTCTTTTCATTTCACCACTATGGACATTTAGTCTTGTCCTCTGCACTTCCTACTTCTATCAACAAGAAATCAGAAATTTGCTTCTCCTTCTCTTTGAAGACACTGGGGGTTCTACACAGAAAAGTAGAGGTTGAGGTTTGTCCCCAACCCCTGCGGCAAAATGACTCTTCCAGGCCTGCTTTCCACTTGGAAGAGATTTTAATTAATGTAAATTAATGAATCAATTCTAAGAACAAGAAATTACACCCATGTCCCCCTAAGTACTCAGAAGGAGAACAGCTACTGGCTAAATAGATTTGCATATATGCTACCACCCCATCCTAAATAAGTTTTGGAGCACTGGAGAACCTTCCTAAGAAGATTTCAGGAGAGGGATAAGGAGGGCTGGCCATAGTAGGAGAAGACAGTATGGGGAAATTCTATTGGCTTAGTAGAAATCCACACATTAAATCACCATTTGGAAGTCCAAGAATATGTAAGCGGGCATTTAAATTAGTTTTTACTCCCCTCAGTCTGTTTAACACTTCAAGGAATCTTTTTTGAAAACTGGAAGTGGTCTACATCCAATTGCTAGTTTCCAAGAAGAGTAAGTACACTGAAGCAGTGGTTCCACAGTGCTAAATTGATTCAATGGGTCCAATCTAGTTGGAACTAATAATTGCATTAAGTTCAACTACAGCAAAAATGAGGGAGCATTCCTTCACTTCCTATGCAATAGCACAAATATTAGACATGTCATTTGTAGGCACACAAAGAAGCAATTTTTACATCAATGTGGTTATTATTCCAAAACTATACATGAGCTGATCTTATACTTCATCTTCTCAATCAGTAACTCAACTCAGCAATAAGAGACCCACTGAAACAAGCAACTGATTCTGGACCAACCAAAGTGATACAATGTTCAACTTGCAGAAATCCATCTCATTTTCTCTCTTGCACACACAAAACACTCACTTTAGTCAATTTTAATGCTAAATCAATACACATTGTCCCTAAAGTTCTGCAAGGCCATTGGTCAGCCTTCCATATTCACAAATTCTGCATTAACAGATTTCACCATCCACAGGTAGAAAATATATCTTTAAAAACATTCTCAAAAGGCAAACCTTTATTTTGCCATTTTACATCAAGTGCACCATTTTAGTATGCTATGGTATATAATGTGATTAGAGTATCCATGGAGTTTTGTGTCTCTGGGGGACCCTGAAAATGAACCGCAGTGGATACCAAAGGACCACTGAACACTTTCATTTTCCTAAACTGAAAATTGCTTTTTTCTTCTATGGCCACTGGGTGGTGCTCTCAACCTTGAGAAAAAAATCCAACTTTACTCAACTTTTATTTAAGGGAAATATTTGTGTTTTTGTTGTTTGCTTTGCTTTACTTCACTTACACCATTCTGGATTCACGTCACCACAAGTTACCTCATCAAGGTCACTCCTAATTACTTCAGTAACTACTATATCTTTAAAGGCACCCACATTCCATTTAGCTGCAGACACACATTCCATTCTATTATTTTTAAACTGTATTGTATTGTCTTAATTATAAACAGAAAATACCCATTGAAGCACATAGATAACGACATCTAGATAAATCTATTCAAGTGATACAAAATAGAGTATTAAAAATATGCGTCAATTGGTAAAAGCAGCATGCTATTTCCTCTTATGACTTGAATTATCTATTTCCTCCACCACATGAGGGGCAGATAGTCAAAGCTTGTTTAATGGTAAGTGGCTACAGCTGAAGTTGCCCCCAGAAAAAAATAATGAGAAATGTAATTTTTCACTTACGTTTTCTATGACAAATGTCCATTCCTTGTCTTCAAATTCCTCAGCATGGGGATCCTAGAAGGGGGAGATACAGTATATTGAACACTATGGAAAAGCTTTAGTGCTTTTGCTACTCACCTTTTTATTTGTCCACTTAATATTACATTATGGATTTACATGTAAAGGAAAATTATGAATTTATATGTACATGTTGCTAAAGAATTACTTTAAAACATCTATAATGTTTTAAGAAGAAAAATAAAAAAATCAAAAAAAGAGCAGAAAAAAGAGCACATGTCAAAAGGTACCATCACAAATACTAATGATACATCTTTTAATTAAATTCCATAAATATGTAAACAGCTGTTTTTAGGGATGATAGATAACTTGTTCATTCCTATTATGCCAATAGTATACATGAAGTGTTCTCTCTCTCTCTTGCTCTTCTATAAGTGCAAAGACAGAAAAGGCCAATAAATAGAGACTTTAGAGCAGGGGTCCACAAACTTTTTAAACAGAAGGCCAGGTCACAGTCCCTCAAATTGTTGGAGGGCCGGATTATTATTTGAAAAAACATGAATGAATTCCTATGCACACTGCAATATCTTATTTGTAGTGCAAAAAATACTTTAAAACAATACAATAATTAAAATGAATAACAATTTTAACAAATATAAACTTATTAGTATTTCAATGGGAAGTGTGGGCCTGCTTTTGGCTGATGAGATAGGATTGTTGTTGTTGTTTGCTTTCAAGTCATTACAGACTTAGGTTGACCCTGAGCGAGGGCCGGATAAATGACCTTGGAGGGCCATATCCGGCCCCCAGGCCTTAGTTTGAGGACCCCTGCTTTAGGGAGATGGAGTACATCCGGCCTAAAATGAAAAGCCTGGATCTAAATGTAGAGATCATATTTTTATTAATAAAAAATTCATCTTAAAATATTAGAATAGTGGCTTCTTGTGAATTTAATTTTGCATATGCATTACAATTGCACTATATTAAATAACAATGTACATTAATAATTTTATAATAATAATAACTTTATTTTTATACCCCGCCTCCATTTCCCCAAAGGGACTCGGGGTGGTTTACAAAGGGCAAACTCAAAGAGCACAGAGTTAAAAACATAATGCAATAAGATAAAACCAAAATAAAACAAAGTAAGAAGATATCGCAATAAAACAACATCATAAAAACAGTGCCATGCTGAGTTCAATCAATCAATCAATCAATCAAATCATTTATTTCGGTCATAGACCAGCACAGGAAATAAAAACCACATTTTCATATGATCTTGGTACATTTAGTATATTTAAAATATAAATATAAATACTGAAGCACAATAGGGGGTAAGGGAGCGGAAGGGTAAACAGGGCAAAAGCATACAATGCACAGGTCTATCAGCAAATTATAGAATCAAGGAAGATGATTACTAGATACACAGTTCACTTTTGGGACCAGTAAACCCCTGACAGATTTTTTATGCTGCTGCACAAAACTTTGCAACATTGTAGGTTATAGCTGAATTAGTATCTGCAAGTATCCATGCTGAGCAAGAAAAGTGCTGATAAATGATGACTAAGTAGAATCCTCCTCACTAGTGATTTGAATAGTAATTTCATAATTAAAATAGAGTCCTTCAGAGGTACTACTTAAATCAACCCTGGGTATCAGAGGTACTGCTGACTCATTAGAAATTTCTTTTAAAGATCAGAGTATTTTATTTTTAATTCATTCAAAATATGTAGGTTATCTTTCTGCATTATGACTACAAATGACAAAAACTATACTAAATATTTATTTATAGATACAGGAATCAAATCAAAGCATGAAAAAAAAACTATAGATTTTATTTTATCTTATTTTATTTTAATGTTGCAGGGGAATGAGCTCAAGTGATTCTGTCAAAAAGTCCAAAAAGATCACATGAGTGATAGGACTGAAAACAACTGATTAGTCTAGAATCATTACCTTCTGCTACCCTTGTCTCCTGCCTGGCAGAGATCACCCACCTAGTTGCCCAAGATAGTACCAACAATAAAACTAAGTTTGGGGTTGGTCATGGCAGTCCATAAGCCATACACTGTGCGGGACGAGGAACATTTCTCACAGTGAATTCTGGCCAAATTGAACTTGGACTAAAAAGAGACCAGGGACATGCATGAGGGTCTTTTGGTGACTAAATTGCCACTTTTGTGGCAAATGATCATGGGAGGAACCAAGGAGACAAAGGTTGATGACTTATTGTTACATTTAATCTATCCCTTATGTACTATGTGACCTAACATTTATCAAACCTTTTCTTCACATGTGAGCGAAATAGAGATTACAGGTTGTCATAAATAAATCTGGAGGATATTTAAGTTGGAGACATAGACATGTAAAAGACATACTTTTGTGATGCGACACATTTTGAAAAAATGGGAAGAGAGGTATTGTTATAAAATGATAAACTGCCTTATTTTAAAGAATTAACTTACAATTTGAGATGTCACCTCCTTTATTGTGACTTGTTAACAGACAATGTCTTTTTGCAGAAAAATGTGAATATGTTAATTGTAACTGTTATTAGTTTGAGTTAAGGAAGTGTATAAAGTGTTTTCATGAAAAGAGTAAGACTTTATATATTAAGATATATAACAATTGCTAAGAAAATAAACATTTTTCTTTTCTGTTTCTTTCTTTGCTTTTCTTTGTCTATATATTTTTTCCCTTTAACGTAATGGAAAGCATGTACAGGTAAGGCCTGAGTTACAAATACCTGACTCATAAACACTCATAATTAAGAATTGGGGTGAGACAACAGGAACTGAGAGAAATCTACCCCTAGGAAGGAAAATTCACTCCTGGAAGAGTTAATAATAATAATAATAATAATAATAATAATAATAATCTTGATTTATACCCTGCCACCATCTCCCCGAAGGCACTCGGGGCAGCTCACAAAAACACTCCAGGGTATCGCACATAAAATAAACAATACACAAGCATAAAAACAATAGTAACATAAAATTACAACAGCAAAATGCGGCAAACAAATTTAGCATCACATAATAAAATTTTAAAATTCATAAAATGCAGTAATGCCTGCGGATAAGACTAAGTCCTCACATGCAACCACTGAAGTCTACTCAAGGTCAAAGGTCTGTTTAAAAAGCTATGTTTTTAGGCTATACTGAAAGGCTTGGAGAGTGGGAGCTAACTTAATCTCTCTAGGAAGGGCATTCTAGAGCCGGGGAGCCACCACTGAGAAGGCCATCTCTTGTCCGTACTTGGGACAGTGGTGGGGCCAAGAAAAGGGCCTCCCTGTCAGATCTCAGAGCCCACACCAATTCATAGAAGATAGGTTGGACCCAAACAAAAAATGGCTTTATAGGTGATAACTTGCACTTTGAATTGAGCCCAGAAACTTGTCAGAAGCCAGTAGAACTGCTTTAATAGGAGTATGGAATGCTCTCTATAGCTAACCCTAGTTAGTAATCTGGCTGCTTATCTGTGCACTAACTGCAGCTTCTGAGCCATCTTCAAAGGCAGTCCCATGTAGATTGCATTATAGTAGTCCATTCTGGATGTAACTAAATAGTGGGCCACTATGGCCACGCCTTAGTTACCATGGGGAGGTGTCTCCAAGGAAGCTTTATCATCAAACCTCATTTCCAAAACAAGCCAAGTTTTTCAAAATCCAGTTGTCACAGGGACCAAAACAAACACCACAGGGGTGTTAGGCCTTCCCTATGCTGTCATATACATACATACATACATACATATAGAGAAAGAGAACGAGAACAAACTTACAGAACCTATCTTGTTTGTAACTTGGGAACTGTGTGTAGTCTTAAACAGATTTATGCACATTTGCCCTGCAAACTTCTACTATAATGTCTTTTACTCTTTTTATCATTTTAATTAGTTTTTGTAAACCATCCTTGAGAACTGGTGGGAAGCCTAAAATAAATGAATAAATATTGGTATTCCGTGCAATATGTTTGTCTTTGTTGCTTAAAAAGACAAGGAAGACAACTTCTGCATACTTTTCTTAACTACAACCTACAGTTTTCACCGTTACTGACTATACTGTATTTAGGGAGCTATTTGGCAAGGTTTGGGACTATGAAAATCTTTACTGCTGGCTGGAAAAATCTATCTACATTCATAGGGATGGAGGAGGAGTTAAACTCTCAATTCCTTATTCCAGGGGCCCTTAAAGCAGCTGCTTAACGGCAAGCACACACCATTTCTTTTGAAGTGAAATGCAGATTTAACATTGTGGATGAATTTTGACCCCTGCCCCAAGTCACTGCCTTGTTTCATCTCATTTCACCTTGTGAAACTTCTGCAATGCCTTAAATAATTTTGCACAATTTTTAAAAGAAGCGCCCGCAACTAAATATCCCTCAATTCTCATCTTCTACCACAGACATATGGCTTCTAAGATCTGAGATGTCAAAACTGATGACATTGGCTTGGATCCTAAGAACTATGAACAGAAGTAAAGTTAATAGAAACCAACTTTTCCATTGCCTTCTCTCTTCTATACCCTCTGAAATGCCTCTCGGAAAGATCAGAAACACTCCTGGATGGCAAGTCACTTAGGCGATCCCACGTTTTCTGAGGAGGATTGTCTTCCAGTATTCTTGTGGGTTCGTATGTGGCTGTGGAGCCCTATTCTTGATCTGCATCTTCTTCCGCAGTGAGGGCATTGGTTTCCAGGTGGAAGGCGGTCTCGGTCGGGGTTGGCTTGACGCGCCTTCCTCTTGGCACGCTTCTCCCTTTCGCCCTCCATTCGTGCCTCTTCAAATTCTGCAGCACTGCTGGTCACAGCTAACCTCCAGCTGGAGCGGTCAAGGGCCAGGGCTTCCCAGTTCTCAGTGTCTATGCCAGAGTTTTTAAGGTTGGCTTTGAGCCCGTCTTTAAATCTCTTTTCCTGTCCTCCAACATTCCGTTTTCCGTTCTTGAGTTCGGAGTAGAGCAACTGCTTTGGGAGACGGTGGTCGGGCATCCGGACAACGTGGCCGGTCCAGCGGAGTTGATGGCGGAGGACCATCGCTTCAATGCTGGTGGTCTTTGCTTCTTCCAGCACGCTGACGTTTGTCCGCCTGTCTTCCCAAGACATTTGCAGGATTTTCCAGAGGCAGCGCTGATGGAATCGTTCCAGGAGTTGCATGTGACGTCTGTAGACAGTCCACGTCTCACAGGCATATAGCAGGGTTGGGAGGACAATAGCTCTATAAACAAGCACCTTGGTATCCCTACGGATGTCCCGGTCCTCAAACACTCTCTGCTTCATTCGGAAAAATGCTGCACTCGCAGAGCTCAGGCGGTGTTGTATTTCGGTGTTGATGTTGACTTTGGTGGAGAGGTAAGGTAGCGGAAATGATCAACATTTTCTAATGTTACACCATTAAGCTGTATCGCTGGCATTGGAGAGGGGTTGGCTGATGTCTGCTGGAACAGACACCAGAAAGATCAGAAACACCCCTGGTTGGCAAGGTATAGATGGGGAAGGATTGAGCAAAACTCAGGCAGAGGAGCCTTACACATCAAATTCCTTTGTCCAATAATGGGCAACTTCCTCCTCTGTTACTCTGTCACTCAAAGTTTAGAATGTTTCTCTGAGCCTATGGTGAAGGCTTTAGGGGAGGATGGAGAGGAGGCGTCGGAAGAGAGATACAGAAACATATTGTTTCTTGAACCCCCTTTCGCGTCAAAGTTTTCAGGAGGAATATCAAAAAGAAATTCCAACCCCATTCTGCAATGCAGGCACACACAAACAAAGCACTTTAGACAGATTACTTCTGTTTAAAAAACTCCAGAGATGGAGACTCCACCATGCTCCAAGGCAGCATATTCCACGGTCGGCCAGATCCTCCCATCATGAGGTTCTTCCTAATGTTTAGGTGGAACCTTTTTTTCTGCAATTTGAATCCACTGCTCTGTGTGCTAGACTTCAGAGCAAGAGAAAACAAGTTTGCCCCTCCTCAATTTTTCAAATGTTCAATTATGGCTATCATGTTCCCGCTCAGCCTTTTATCCTCCAAGCTAAACAGACCCAGCTCCCTTAGCTATTCTTCATAGGGTTTGGATTCCAGAAATGTTACCATTTTGGACCACCCTTTTCTGGACACTTCATAGCTTGTCAATATACTTCTTGACTTGTGGTGCCACAGAATAGGACACAATATTCCAGGTGAGGTCTGGCCAAAGCAGAATAGAGTGTGACTGCTACTTCTCCTATTGTGTAGACTAGAATTGCCCTGGCTTTTTAGCTGCTGTATCACATTGTTGACTCACTCATGTTCAGTTTGTAGACTGCTAAGAGTCCTAAATCCCTTTCAAATGTACTGTTTTCAAGTCAGGTGTTACCCATCATATATCTGTGCATTTTATTTTTTCTTCCTAAATGTTCATGTTGAAATTCTCCATGTTGAAATTCATTTAGAGTGAGGAAACAACTTTGAGACTCAGCAAGCAAGATTGGGCTCTCTTCTGAATGCTATAAAGCTTTAATAGTAAGATGGAGGAAATATAATGAAAAAGTGCATAGTAAAATAAAATAAAATAAAATAGTGCCTAGTTATCCATAGAATACTTAGCCATTGAATCTCAGGTATGCAATGCCCTCAGCCAGGAAGCCCAGCTAGAACCTACTACCGTATATACTTGAGTATAAGCCGATCCAAATATAAGCCGAGGCATCTAATTTTACCACAAAAAACTGGGAAAATGTATTGACTCGAGTATAAGCCGAGGGTGAGAAATGCAGCAGCTACTGGTAAGTTTCAAAATAGAAATAGATACCAATAAAATTACAGTAACTGAGGCATCAATAGAGTAAATATTCCAAAATATTTACATAAAATTGTAATTTAAGATAAAGTTACCCAACTCTGATTAAACCATTATTCTAACCTTCTTCAATATAAATGTCCTTACATATCCTTCCAATAATAATAAAGGAAGTAAAATAATAAATGTAATAAAAATAATGCAGACTGTAGCCAGGAAATCAGCAGACGCTTACTTCTTGGGAGGAGAGCAATGTCCAGTCTCGATAAAATAGTAAAGAGTAGAGACATCAGACTGGCAACAAAGATCCGCCTTGTCAAAGCCATGGTATTCCCTGTAGTAACCTACGGATGTGAGAGCTGGACCTTAGGGAAGGCTGAGCGAAGGAAGATCGATGCTTTTGAGCTGTGGTGATGGAGGAAAGTGCTGAGAGTGCCTTGGACTGCGAGAAGATCCAACCAGTCCATCCTCCAGGAAATAAAGCCCGACTGCTCACTGGAGGGAAAGATACTAGAGACAAAGTTGAAGTACTTTGGCCACATCATGAGGAGACAGGAAAGCCTAGAGAAGACAATTATGCTGGGGAAAGTGGAAGGCAAAAGGAAGAGGGGCCAACCAAGGGCAAGATGGATGGATGGCATCCTTGAAGTGACTGGACTGACCTTGAGGGAGCTGGGGGTGGTAACGGCTGACAGGGAGCTCTGGCGTGGGCTGGTCCATGAGGTCACGAAGAGTCGGAGACGACTGAACGAATGAACAACAACAATAACAGCAGTAAGAGAGTAAAATAATACATGTAATAATAACCATAGAGTAAAATAATAAATGTTATAATAACAATAAAGAGTAAAATAATAAATATAATAATAATAGAGTAAAATAATAAATGTAATAATAATAATAATAATAATAATAGAGTAAAATAATAAATGCAATAAAATAATACTAATAACAGAGTAAAATAGTAAATAACATTGACTCAAGTGTAAGCCGAGGGGAGATTTTTCAGCCTTATATTCGAGTATATACAGTAATACTGGCCTCATTTCAGCAACAGATTAAGAACTGACTATTTATCTAGGCTTTGCGATCTTAGTGGTCATATCACTGCTTATTCTATGTGGGTCTATAGGTTCTGGAGTATATTTATGGATCTGTATTAAATTGTTTTTAAGGTATTTCTATTATTTTTAGATTGATCTTTCGACACAGGGCAGATTAAAAAAAACACTGTGAAGAAAAAAAATGCTTAGGAGGATAACCATGTTGCTCTATTGCAACAAAAAGAAGTTTGCCTGTGGTGCCTTCAAGATCAACAAAACTATTCTGGCAAAAACTATAAGAGAATGAAAGAGATACACAACATACTTGAAATGTTATTTTGAGCTGCAGGTATATCTACGCAGAATGAGGAGCTCTATAAAACATTTCTCTCAAAACCCACTCTTAGTAGTCCTTGCCCAAACTGTATGTATAATGCCTGGAATTCAGGATAATATTGTATGCCTCTGTCTCACCACAAACCTCTTTCTAAAATGGTTTAATTTTAAATTTAATTGCTTTAAATTTGTCCTATTATAATTCTAACACAAACATCACAGTATTTCCCCAATCTTGGCTATGTACACTACACAATCACAGCCACGTCTCCCTTCTCAGGTCTAAAATGCTGAAATTATGAAGGCTTTATTATAAAATTCAATGTCATCATCCCAGGTATGGGAATAGGCCAAAGATGGTATCCTAACACATCCATCCTACATACAATACAAAACTATTCGAAAACACAGATGCCTCGATATCATGTAAACATTCTTCCCATTGACAGATTGCCTAAGCTTTTAAGTAGTGGGCTTTCAAGTATCCACTGGTGGCTGCTAAGAGGCTATACTTAACATTCTCATTAGTAACGGAAGTCAAGATTTACCCTCTAATCCTACCAGCAACACCCTTTCAACAGCCACTTACAGATTCAGAGGCACTGCAATCTGTATCACTTCCCAAAACACATGGCTATTCTATCTTTGCTCCTGTTCATTACTGCTACTATTTCAGGCTGCTGCTTTACAAAGAGAATATAGTGGGGGTTTTTGAGGGGGAGGGTAGCATATGGATTCAGTAAATAAAAACATTTATCTCTTATTCCTATATGGCTTAGTATGATCAACACATTCAGTTCGCAATAGTTGCCAGTGCAGGCAGAAAGGCATTTCAGCTGTGATCTTGACTTTTTGATCAGTGTAAAGAGTTGGGATACAGGGCGATTCTTAAGTTTTTATCTTTACATTATAACATAGACATCTGTTTTCTCTTTTCTTTTGAGGCTTTCAGTAGCTGTTGTTTATATGGTAGACATACAGAGGGACATAAATGTATTCACATTTTATTACTTTTACTCTTTCTGGGCATCCTGTAAACTCCTTTGTGGGATGGAAGATGATATAGAAATACTTTACATTAAATAACATGTATAAAGAATAAATAATTATGCATTATCTATTTGCAAGAAGGAATTACAAATAGTTCATTATTTATAACTACCTTACTTCACCAATTCTAAAACATAGTTTTTCCCAAAAATTGAGGCTGAAAAAACAATTGTGGGTATCCTTGATTCATGTTTTCTTTCTTTCTTTCTTTTTTTAAAAAAAAGAGAATCAAAAATTGGGGTACTGCTGAGAGAGTAAGAGGAAAGCCAGGGGGGAACAAGCAGGGAGCCATCAAATTTCCCCTGGATCTCTGAACTAGCTTCCCTGCCCCCATCTCTCATGCAGACAAGATTTGGAAGTCTACAGTTTCTTTAAATATTTTTTTTCCTAAAATTGAAGTTCCAAAAAGGGGGGGGGGGTGCATCTTGAAATTGAAAATTCCCCTTTTCTAAAATTAATGCTCAAAAAAGGGAGTTTGTCTTGGAATTGAAGGCATTCTAGATTTGGTAAAATATGGTAATTGGTTCTAGGATCTGAATTATCATCACCATTATGAGCACTTCTCCTATAAAATAATTGTATGCACCAGGTGGGGTGGGGTGCAGTTCCTTGCCTGTAGAGGTAGGGATGTGTTTGCAATGATTTTTTTTAAATACAAGAGGAAAGGAGAAAGGGATGTGGGGGTCCTACAAGTTGCCAATACATCACTCCAAAATCTGGCAGTCACCCACCCCTCCTATATACAGATACTTAGACATCCAGATATGTGAATAAAGAAAAACAAAACACCATACTTACCTTGAAAAGTGTTACAGTGATTTCAATGTTTTCAGGAACAGGCCACACGACAACTCCACGGTATGGATTTTTTATCCCTGGCTGCCAGCTATGAGACTGAAAAGAGAGTGGGGAGGGTATAAATCTTGAGTGATGTAATTACAAGCACGGTGATCAATGTTTCTACAAAAATCTGTTATGTACATGCAATGTCAAACAGAAACAATATGCATAATGTGGATTTTTGGGTCCAATCACCTCTTCACATGGGGCATTTTTGCTCCGTTTTGTGACTTTGTTGTGCAGAAAGGACAGGGCCATTACACAACGCACGGCAGGCCCTGCCTACATTCCTCCCAAAGTGGTGTGGAAATGCCAAAAGATGCTTCCTTCACCACTACATGGAGGAAAGTGTATTTTGGATAGCTCCAATGAAGCTATCCCCCCCCCCCACTTTCCTCCCCTTTTTGCTGTTTGATGGGGGAAAGGGTGCTGGGCCAATGTCTGTTGCCAGGTGTCTTTATTTATTTATTTATTATTTAAACTTATATGCCGCCACTCCCCTGGGGCTCGGAGCGGCTTACAAGAAAATCTAACAAAATTTAAAAGCAATTTAACAATTTAAAAACAACAATATCAAACATTAAAAGCCTGTCGAAACAGGTATGTCTTACATGCCCTGCGGAAAGCTGGTAAGCCCCGCAAGGCACGGACTTCAGGTGGAAGTATTCCAGAGTGATGGTGCCACTGCTGTGAAGGCTCTGCGTCTGGTTGCTGTTAGACGCAAGGTCTTGACACTGGGAATTTCTAATAGATCTTGGTCCTCAGAACGGAGGGATCTCTGGGGTTGGTAGGGGGTGAGGCGGTCCCTCAGATACATCGGCCCCAGACCATGCAAGGCCTTAAAGGTGAGTACCATCACTTTGAAAGTGATCCGGTGCTCAATTGGTAACCAATGCAGCTGTAGTAAGATTGGTGTTATGTGGCATCTCATCGGAATTCCCGCAAGAAGCCGAGCAGCTGCATTTTGTACCAACTTGAGCTGCCCTTTCTCCCATCTGATGGGGACAGGGTGCCAACACACCCTGTTCTGTTCCCACCGTGTGATGGGGGAAGGAGGGAGGCCACACGGGGTGCTCTGAGCCTCCCCACGGACGTTTGAAGAGGTTGTAAATCTACTTTCCCTAAGGTCTCAAAAATTCTAAGACCAGACCAATAGGAACAAGGAGAAGCAATGACATTTGCAACTATTTTCCTTAACAGCCGAATTGTCTTGGTAAACTATCTGCGTTGGAATGACCACTGTTTTACTTGTAGTACTTTTTTGGTACTCTGTTTTGGTTTTGTCTTATCTCTGCTGTTTTTATTTTGGACGGGGGCTATTAGACTGATACTGGGACCAGGTTTGGGCTCATAAGTCTTCCCCTTATAAACTTCCATCTTTGAATATACAGTTTAAACTCCTGTATCTGTGGAACTGGTGCCTGCACTTTCACTTATCCATGTCTGACAAACTATGTTCTCTTTAGGCATTTTCTAGGTCTTCCAGCACATTTATGTGGTATTCTTAGGTTAGAAGATTTTTGCTGCACATACCCATGTGAACTCCACATATGTATCCCCTGAGGATATGGGGGCTGTATTGCATAAGCAAATTCATGGAGATACATGTAAATACCTTCAATTATCATATCCATGACAAGATAAATAGGAACTCCAAGAGTGATGCTTCTATACAAGGTCCTGACCAGGAGCCTCATGATAGTGTTCCTGGGAGCACGGAAGGCAGAAAGGATGCAATTGCAATCCTACATAGTGCTTGAGAGATGGAAGTCTTAAACCTGAATATTTTATAAGTATATGTGGGGATGGGCAAACTTCTGGAAGCAACTCCCTAAAGATATCCATCTACCCATATTATCTCCATATTTTAAGCTATCAAGAACCCTGGCAATTTCCTCTCTCCTTCTGTTCTCTATTGGGCTTGTCTATGTGCTTTTAATTGACAGACAAATGTTTGCTCAAGATCTGGTTTCACTCTCAGTCTCTCTTTTTATATGACAAAATCCAAAACACACATGCTGGTGATACCTTTGTCAGGCCAATAAAAGATACAAAATACATAATCGCTACTCCTACAATTCTCATTATATGTAGGTAAAATGTTTTCTCAGAAAGAATCAAATACATTATGTATTTAGAAGGGAAAATTCACAACATCAGCATTGTATCCCTACTAGGATCATCCTGAAGTCACAAAACTCTCAGTGAGTCTTTACAAAGACTTTATTCTGCTACTGATTTCCAATTGATAATGCATTATGTATAATGTCAATAACAGTAAATGAAAAGTACATTTTGTGCAAAACACACAGGTTGAGAGGAAGGATATTAGTTATAGAGCTCTCTAAAAAGTTCACTAAGCTAAACTGTGCAGGAGTAAAATAATACAGTTGGAATAACACAGAGGCTATAAAGTCACACAATGGCTACCTTTCTATCTTAAAGAAACCCCTATTGTCATTTCTGCCAACTTTTAGCACACTTAGGAGAAATTCTTCTTTTGATCATGTGCCAAATTTATTAAATGTTTTACCAATTATCTATAAGAAAGAATCCACATCTACAGCAAAGTCATGTAAGAGGCATTTTAAAAAGATAAGAGAAATATGTGAACAGCTAGCAGCTCATGCTGTACTTGAAAATGATCTTGCCACAACTTGCTGAACAATTCTGTTATGAGCTAGCTTTCAGTAACTTGTGAATCATTATATATACATGCAGAACAAAGGAAAGCCCAAAGAAGTTCCCAGAACAAGTACACACATTATACAGAAAGTGAGAACTACTCAAGCTAGAGAGCAGAAGGAATGAATGAATAACTTTATTAGTAATGAATGAAATATTTTAGTACAATCACAGCTCAAAAACAAACCACAGATCAGACACAAGGTAACAGGAAATCAAGAAAAAAGAAAAGACAACTAACAAATAATATATATACAGATATATGGCACTACAGCAGCCAATATCAGATCAAAATTAACAGGGATCACTGAAACTGAGGAATGCCATAATAGGGTTTACTTTAACTCACTTCTGATAGAATATGCTAAATTGCAAAATTCTTCAGTTTTCTTCCATTATTATCAGTTATTCAAAACTTATGTAATCAGTGGTAGCTGTGGTAGCCTTTCAGCAAAATACAACAACACCCCACCCCCCAGATAAACAATGATACCATTATCTTGTCAAGTAAAATGCACAAAACACAGCATCAAAGCTTTCAAAGCTCCATTGCCAAGTATAAGCTATTTCAGTTTTTATTGCCTGACTTTTATTACCCTTTGCCCCTGGTCCACACATGGACAGGAGGGGTAGTGGTTTTTGCATCCATTGAGATCCCTCCAGACTCCAGAGCAACTGAACTACAAAAAGAACATTTAATACAAAGTGTAGCCTTTCAAAGAAGTAGCTGTGTTAGTCTCTTACAGCATAAAAAGGAGAAAGGGTGTAGAAGAAGAGGAACAGCATATATTAGTACTCTTAACATTGTTTTGTACTTCTGCGTGAGATTTCATGTTTATAACCCTGCTTTTTCAGAGGCAGCAATTCCAAAGAAATTGGCTTATATCCATACAAAAATACTGTATTTTATTATACAATCGTCACCCCCATTTTGGGGGGGGGGAGGGGGGATGCAACTATTATGTGGGGAATATTTTTAGCAGTGACCGCCGAGGGAATACCCATAGGTCTCATGCCTTCCCCCTGGAGCTACAGCATTTGCTCGGTTCTTTGAGGACAAAGTCATTCTGATCCGCTCCAACGTGGACACCATGTTAACGGCAGTCTCTGAAGACGTAACAGGAGCACCTGCTTGTCCAATTTTGATGGATTCATTTTAATTGGTGCAGCTCAAGGATAGTTGGATCGGTGAGAGCAACCACATGCATCCTAGACCCCTGCCCATCCTGGCTGAAAAACAAATCTACAGGGGGTTTGGCAGAGTGGGTAAAGGTGGTGGTTAATGCCTCCCTGCAGGAAGGCATAATTCCAGTCAGCTTAAAACAAACTGTAATAAAACCGCCGTTGAAAAAACCATCACTGGACCCCACTCAATTCGTCAACTTTCAGCCAGTTTCCAATCTTCCCTTTTGTGGCAAAGTCCTGGAACGTGTGGTGGCCTCACAACTCCAGGTGTTCTTGGAAGACATGGATTATCTAGATCCGGCGCAGTCTGAGAAACTGCAAGTCGCTTCTGGTGTGAGAGAATTGGCCGTCTGCAAGGATGTTGCCCAGGGGATGCCTGGATTATTTTTGATGTTTTTTATCATCCTGTGGGAGGCTTCTCTCATGTCCCCGCATGAGGAGCTGGAGCTGATAGAGGGAGATCATCCGCCTCTCCCCAAATTCAAACCTACGACCTGTTGGTCTTCAGTCCTGCCGGCACAAGGATTTAACCAACTGCACCACTGGGAGCGGGAAGGTAACAGCGCTCCATGCAGTCATGCTAGCCACATGACTTCGGAGATGTCTACGGACAATGACGGCTCTTTGGCTTAGAAATAGTGATGAGCATCACTCCTCAGAGTTGGATTCAACTATACCTAATGTCAAGGGAGGACCTTTACTTTAAAAAAAAATTACTGTGCCAAGTTCTCTCCAATTCTCTAAGTATCTGCATCATTCTTGGAATGCAAATATCTTCTTAATGCAAAAGAATTTGGCATTTGACTTATTTCCAAGAATGCAATTAGATGAAACTAAACATACATATAATAATTTGTATCCCTGGTAAAATGACGAATTGCTTAGGAATGGTTATTGTTCTACAATCCTCAAGATAAACATCTCAAATCACACTGAATCACACCAGTCATCTTAAAAATATACCTTCTTACTATAGGTTCTGACTTTAGCTGAAAACAGCTTTTTTAACAGTCTAGGCTATTTTCTGAATGCAATAGTTAAACCTCTTAATTTACATATTTATTTATTATTTATTTACGACATTTATATGCCGCCCTTTTCAACCCAAAGGGGACTCAGAGCAGTTTACAAGATATATATATGCATACAATATATTATATTATTAGCATAGTACAATATCAGTATTAAATATTACTACATTGTACTATACCATTATATTGTAATATTTTAGTAATATTACATGTATTATAAATATATAATTATAATATCATATAATTACTTTTAGTATTATATTGCATTACATTATAATATTATAAATATTATATGTATATATATTATATTATATTATATTATATTATTAGCATAGCACAGGAGAGAAGGTGGAACTGTCTTCTGCCCCTCTCTCTCTTCACTCTGGCCCAGAGAAGCAGTTGGAATATTGCATTATTCCAATTCCTAAAGAGTACATAGATGAGCATACAGATCTGCTCATATTAGGTGGCACCAGATATCCAGCAGACATGTTCACTGGGTGACAACTCTATCTCTGAAGAGACCTGTGTCCTTTAACAAGATGTAATACATTAGTTTAGGAATTGATTAACTTTTGAAATTTTTTATTTGCTCAGCTAATAGTTGTGGTGATGTTATAAACAAGTGTTTGTATATAGTGGTGCTCATCTGTTAGGAAATCCCACTCAGTGCCCCATATGTTTGGAACAAATTGAGAGGAAAGAGTTGTAGAATAAAAGGAGAGGAAAGGAGAAGACTCATTTCTTGAATACTTGAGCAAAAGTGTGGCATATTCATCCACTGTGCTACACATCGCTTTCAAGGCCTGTAGCTCATGGTTTATGTGCTCAGATCTTCTTGGACTAAATAATTTGTTTGTCTAGTAAATGTATCATTTTAGTTACATTAATTTTATATAACAAATTAAACCACACATTTGAATTATTTCTCTATTCTAGGATATACCTTATCAAAAATGCATACAGAATATGAGCACATATAACAATATGGATGTGGAGATGGTTTTCTGATACTATCCTACTAGGTTTCATCACTTTGTACATATTTTTCTCCTAATAGCATGAAGATTGTTTGTCATGTAAACACTAGATTAGTTGTCATGGCTGTTTATTGTTAACAAAAAAAAAAAACCCCTGAGAACTGGGAACCTTTGGAGTGAAGCATTTCTTGATTTTTTGCAGTACAGATTAGAGTGAAGTCCCATTGTGAGACACTTAGGCTAAATATAATGACTAAAGAATAAATACAATTGAGTCCAATCATTCAATTATGCTAAATACTACCAGAATAGCCATTTTAAATAATTTAGAATATAGAAAATTTGCTAGTCAAGGGTTATATTGTTATAATTATTGTTTTTGTTAAGAACTGATTCAAATAAAAATGATTTAATTATGGCCATTTACTGATTTATTAACACAAAGGATGTTTTTCTCCAATTACTGCTAACATTTGATGTGGTATAGTTGCAAGGACAATGGCATTCTGTGTCTTGGGTGGAGTTGGGCATTCTGCACCCACACCTAATTTCAAGCAGATTAGGAGAATGTAGAGACAAAGAAGAGGGGGAGACACACATATGAAATAGGGTGATGGAAAGGGATAGTAATCACTTATGTCTTTGTGCCCTCTTTGCTTCTTCTCTATACATGGGGGGTAGGATGGGGAGGGAGCGAGATCATTCTAGCCTCTGAAATAATATCAACATACAACAGTCAACAGATTATCCCCAAGGAAAGTGTGCCTTAAGGTAGAAAGAGTCGCTCATCCTTAAATCCAAATCCTAGATGATCTTAGACATTAGTGTCCAGACCAACTTCTCACAGATTTGTGAAAAGTAGAAATGCGGGTGAATTGAAGAGAAAATAATTGATGGCATCTTGAGATCCACAAAGGGAAGACAAAATTATAATGTAACAAATGCAGGAACTGGCATTTTAATTATAACTGAATAAATTATTTATATTATTGCTATGTTTAGCAGTCAATGGTGTATCAGATATGCATATCAGACTAAATGCTCTGTATGTGTGTGCTTTCAAGCCACCTGTTGATTTATGGTGATCTCATATATTTCAAAATATGAAATATATGAGATCACCATATATTTTCTTGGACCAGGAATACTCAAGAGGCAATTTTGTCAGTTCTTTACTCTGAAGGCTTACCCTGGTTAGCTTCCTACATCAGATGAGATCTGGTATCTTTAGGGTAGTTCTATTAAGCTAGATGGATGCCAAATTGATAGCAGTGGGCAGCTTCAACATAATACAGTCAGACTCCTTTAAAAATATATTTTGTGTCTTAAATCAGAAATAACATCAAAAGGCAAATTGTCAACTTATTATTTCCATTATTAACAAAACTGACCTTAGAAGATTTTCTACGACTTCTTCTTGTCCAAACCACCACCAATTTATCTGGTTGCCTGTTGGTAAAAACAAGAACATCAACATTCATTGTTCTAATGAAATAATAAAATAAAGTAGTAACCTAAGAAAGGGTGACTTATTATGTATGAGCGATTTTCTTTTCCTATTTTTATAGAAGTATCTGGTACCTTGACAGCCTGAGAGAGATTGAGGGCCCTTCCATACAGCTGAATAAAATCCCACATTATCTGCTTTGAAGTGGAATATATGGCAGTGTAGACTCAGATAACCCAGTTCAAAGGTTATATGGCTGTGTGGAAGGGTCCTTAGAGGAGCAAGAGATCCAGGAATTTCCAACCCACATCTTCCCCATTCCCCATTATTCTATTTTTTCTTCATTTTGTAAGTCTCTTCCATTTTTTCAAAACCTGGTATCTTAGAGGTATTGGAATGACTGAGAATTTCAGCAGTCATGAACCCTCACTACTCTTCCTCCTCCTGGTTGTTTTTCTAGTTGATTTGCTTTTCTCTTTTTTAAAACAACTTTTATCCTTTGGGGTGTAGAGTGCTGTTGGGGTGAATGGGAGAGTTCTAAGAATCTCACTCTTGTTATTCCCCTCTATCCTTTTCTACTTTAAAAAAAAGCTTCTTGTCTTTCACTTCATGTTATAAAGGACCCCTTCAGCCTACCCTCTGCCCTGGCAGGTCAAGAGGCCCTCAGCTTACCCCCTCCCCACACCAGATGACAGGGACTAGACAAGCCTTTTCCATCCTGCGTGTGTTCTCTTTACTTGCTTTGGTCCTGCAGAACTGATGGCAATGATAATGGCAGAAAAGTCCATGGATAGCATGATGAACATGACTCGTAAAAGATCGGGAACAATATAAATCTCTGCCATCTAAACACAGACAGGATACTCAGCAGTACCTCTCACACATGGAGAACTGAGCTGGGAAAGTGGCAGCTCTATAAAGAGAGGATGAGCTTAAATCACTATTAATTCTGAAAAATGCTCTTCAATTTATACAGCGTTTTCCAGTTATCATCTCAATTTCTGCATGGAAGTTAATATTAAAGTTTGAAGGAGAGGAAAAGGACAATGAAGAATAGCAAGTAGCAGAATAAAGAAGGCTAAGTACAGCTGTAAGAGGGCACATACCCCATATTATTTGAAGTCAATTAATATGACTAATGGGATTCAAATGGTTAGAATGAAACAATGACTAATGGATTACTGGGTTGTGGTAGTTTTTTCGGGCTGTATGGCCATGTTCAAGAAGCATTCTCTTCTGACATTCGCATGCATCTATGGCAAGCATTCTCAGAGATTGTGAGGTCTCACAACCTCTGAGGATGCCTGCCATAGATGAAGGCAAAATGTTAGGAGAGAATACTTCTAGAACATGGCCTACAGCCTGGAAAACCTACAACAACCTAGTGATTCCAGCCATGAAAGCCTTCGATAATACACAAATGGGTTAAATTTTGATAATTAACACAGGATAGATACTGTCCGAATTCAAATTCCACTGCTACTTCAGACCATAAAATCAGCTGTAGTTCTCTCAAGACTCAAAGGCAGGATTTAAGAGGCACAATTCAGAAGTGTGTTTGTAAACTAATGGAAATATTCCAGCTAGCTAGATTAAATACAACATAGTACAACAGGGACGAACAAATTAACATGTTACCAGAATGTATAAAACAAGCAAACTCTGATTTCCTGAGATGCACATGATGTAGTTGTCATCCAAGGAAAAACATTTTTTTAGTAAAGTTACTAAATGGTTCTGGATGGTGACTTACTTTCAGCAGCAAGCCAAGGGAGGGAGGAGGGATAGAAGGTAGGAGTCTAAAAGATGAAGCAAAATGTATTGAAATGCTGGTCCTTGAATGAATGGCTGTTGAATACTAGATGATGTTCAAACACAAGTTGGGTACATTCCAAAATAAAAGTTAATGTAATGTGGCAAACCTCCTGTCCTAAGGGAATGCTGTACTTAAGAGACAGGACATTACTGGCTAATAAGGTTTTACGGAGAGGAAGCTGCCTGACTCTACAATGATGGGAAGAAACTCTCCAGGGTTTCCATTGAGTTTCCAGTCTTACCTGGAAATATAAGCATCTGAGAATGTGTAAACAGCTACTCTATATCACAGCTATGGTTGTGTGTGTGTGTGTGTGTGTGTGTTTTTTATTAAATGACTGCTAAAAGTAATAACAATCTCTATGACAATATGCATTTTGTTGGAAATCTAGTTACTTTTTAAGCCCAATTTCTGTACTTGTCAACAGCAGATGCAAAGCTTTTGTTACTGTTTACATTGAATGACTGGACATTTCCCTGCACATTATGCTGTTGTTAAAAGACACCAATAAGTATTTACATTTTTTTAAAGCTAGCAGTACCAGACCAATCTTAGAGCAAGCTCTACTTGGGGAGGGGCTGCATTTGTCTCACACACACACACACACACACACACCAGAGCTACACTTTGCTCAAGCCTGAAACCAAGCAAGTCTATGTAACAAAAAAAAAAAATACCACCAAGAAGTGTGAGCCTGGTATAGTCTGGGATTTGGTTCCAGGACCCCCATGGATAGCAAAATCTGTGGATATTCAAGTCTCATTATATCCAATTGTATAATGAGACTTGTAAAGTGGTGTCCTTTTGACAAAATAACTAAATTAAGGCTTGCTTTTGGAACTAATTTTTTGAAGCCATGTGTCATTGAATCAATGGACACATAGGGCCACCTGTACAATCTATCTTTATAGGTGGTAGATACAATGCAATCATCTATCAAGCACCATCATCATGTCTCTTCTAGTCCACAGTTAACAATATACGGCTAAAGCAGACAACAATTAACATTTAAACTGAACAGAAAGCTTCCCCAACTACCTACTTTGATTAGGTTCCTGACATACTACAGGGAAAGGTTGTAAAATCTTCCATTGATGTTATACTGCAACTCCCGTCATTCTGCACTATTAGCAGATGCCAGCTAAGACTAATAGGATGTGCTGTTCAACAACATTTAGAGGGCCAAAGTTTCTTATCTATGATACAGTTAGTAAAGGACACATGGTTTCAAAGAAACAAAACATGACTCAGGAACATTGAAAAATTGTTGTTGTAATATCTCTATATCTATGATATAGATATATTACATTGTGTATTGTGTGGCTGTCACACTTCTCTCACTATAAACTTGTATCATTAAACTACAGCAGGATTTAAAAACAATACCAAATAAAATGGCTTTTAATCCAGTCAAACTTTCACTTCATTACATATTGCCAATCTTGACATTATCCTTCTGTTTGCCAACATGAACATTTTGAAGGGAAAATAAAGTCTATACGTAGTTTGGCACCCTAATTGCTTTTTTTTACTGTGTTTGATTTGGACTGAATTAATTACTACACTTTGCTAAATTGCCCTTGTGAAGGAAGCATAAAAGAGTATAATTAACAAGAGAGACAGCAAAGTGAGCACAATAGCAGGCAGATGCACCTATTGAAGGATAAAAATAATTACTTGAGGAATAAAGTCAGAGTACTTTGGAGATAAGATTTTATATTGTGTCATTGGTTCACTGCTGGCTTTGCCTTTCAGTGCCACATGCTGACTTATCCATTGGGAAACGCTTCCTTTTAACCAAGCTTAGAATGCTTCTAAGTGCCTCTCAAAATCTTCTGAAAACTCAACTCTGTTTAATTCTGTGTGATGTTTAGAACAGATTTAAAAAACAAAAACAAATAACACCACTTCTCATTGTAACAGGAGATACTGCTCCCTCATTAAAATCCAAGTGCCATGCACTACCAGTAAAATTTAAATGTCTTTTCAATTTTAAGTCCTTGTCTAGTCAGTTCTTAGGACACTTTTCACAGTATACTAGAGGAATCACTTGGATTTATCAGGTGTTCTGTTTCACAAATAATCACCAATATACAAAACCTCTGCTGAAGGAACTGCGCTGGTTTCTGGTTTGCTATAAGGCTGGGCTTAAAAAGAGTTTAAAATTAGTTTATAAAACCCTAAATTGTTTTGCTCCTGGTTACTCGTGAGACCTCCTTTCCCCCATCAGACTCCCATCAGTCCTTGAAGTCACCTGAGATTTGAAATTGTGTCACCAATTGGGTGGAATATTCTTCCATTTGAAATTCAGCATTGCCCAGATGTTTGTAGTTTTTTCAATTTTGTTAAAATGTATCTTTTTGTTATATATATATATATACACACATATACTGTAACAATATAACCACCCTTTTCATGCTTTATTTTCTATTTTCTTTGTTAACACTGAGGGAGGATGTCTACTTGTCCAGGCCAGATTGGACTAACTAGAGATCACGTCCCAAGTAAGTCTGAGAGAAATGTGTAATCAGATAGAAACAAATTTGCAGGATTAGGAACTTAGGAAGCTGCATCCTACTTTTTATTAAGATATCATTTTCAACTAGCATATGGAATTATACTCCTTCTGTGCCCTTCCTATAACGTATCTTCACTGGTGCAATCCAATTGTTTGAATTTCAAGTTTGTTAATATAATCTGAACATCAAGAGTCCAAAAGCATTTTATCTCAATCCACCAATGTCCGTGCCTTCCCTCTCCATGAAGGATTTTTTTTGTGGCCTCACCAAAATTTTGTAAATCTAGGGATTCCTCAAGGATTTGAGAAAACAACCATCCTACCCATTTAACCCTTAACAATGCTGCACACTAACCTTTTGAACATTTTTTGTTTTCTTTAGGAAATTTCGAAAATGTTAAAGGAAAGGATACGATCCAAGTAGTATCACCAAGAAAGTGATACTACTTGTTCCCCAAAACCAATTTAGAATGTTGTTTGAACATGGAGCTTTCTGGTTTTTTTTCTTCCTAAAATTCATGTTGTAAAACACTACAGAAATAATATAACAGAGGTATGAGGTTCAAGCTCCAAATGCCAAATCACATCTTTGCCTCCTCTCCCACTAAACAAAATATCAGTGTTATGTAAGAAAAACATAAACTCAGAGACACAACTTCCATCCACAG